CCCCCCCCCCCCCCCCCCTCCCGCCTCTGTATGTGCGTCATGAATAGCTTAGTTGAAAACTTCTTCGCTGATGTCTAGTGAGCGCTTATGAATATGGGATTCATTCTGGTTATTGTCAGTTCGATCTGTTGGTTGCGATGTGTGTTCTCGTGGATGAGACGAAGAGAAAAATCGGGGCATCGTGCACGATCTTTCATCCCACCGCCATTTTGAAGTTCGGATTTGACTATCCCAATATAGGCTCAGTTTCCACTTGAGCGGATAATAAACAACCAGAATGGTTTCGTGGCTGTGGTTCCTGCGCTGCCTTCCAAGAAACTGGAAAGAGCATGTGTGCGATTGATGTCGAGGGCAAGACTTTTCGGCACGCAGCTATGGGAGAACTCTCTGGGAGAGCTGTCTGGGCAAGTCCTGGGCACCACTCTCCCATGGTGGGCTTATTCACCATAGCGTACTACAGAGAACAATAGCGAGTATACTTATACAAGCGAATATCTAGTGAAACATTTAACGGAACATGTGGAGGAAGCGAATATCTAGCGAACGTCTACAGCGATCTGGGTTTTCCAGGCGGTTTCCCAGCGAATTTGTTTTGTTACTGTTACCTGGTTTTTTTGGTTTTTTTTTAAAGACGAAGAACAATTTGAAATAAAGAAAGAATAAGAAGACAGTTTACAATACCATATCTCGTCGCTGTCTTGAATCGAGAAATGTTGCGACATGTTCAATCCGAAGAGTCAAAGCGGTAGAGACGTCATCGGATTGAAGTGCTGATAGCGATAAGGGAACAGTCAAAAGGTTATTGCCTTTCCAGGTTAGCGCCTGTAGCAATTGGGGCTTTTAAACATGTCAATAAAATACGTCACTCCACCGCAGCATCCTCCGACACAACCCAGCAATCGCCGACTTGTCATCAATCGGTAAGTTGCCTGAACAACCAATTGCGCGCAATTGCCATCTTCCAACATGGACAGCCTGGAAGACTTTGAGAAGCAGCTCGCTGCGGAGAGGGCGGAGCGTGAGCGCGCAAAGGAAAAGGAAGAACGACGCAAGCACAAACATCATCGCCGCGACAGATCATCAGAGCGCGACCGCGACCGAGATGGACACAGGGACAGGGACAAGGACAGGGACAGAGATAGGGAAAGGGGAAAAGATAGGGACGGTGACCGCCATCGATCACATCGATCTCGAGACGACGACGACGAAAACGACAAGGATGGCCACCGACACAAGCGGTCGCGCCATTCGCGTGACGATGACCGCCACGAAGAGGAGTCGCGACACCGGCACAGACACAGGGACCGGTCAAGAGAAAGGGACAGGGAACATAGAAGTGACCGCAGACACAGCACCAAGGACACGAAAGACCTCAAACCAACAGACGCCAAAGAGGATCTCCCCTTGCCGGACGAGGAGAAGGCTCCCATGGACGTTGACAAACCGGCGCTTGTTCGCGACTCGTGGATGACAGCACCATCTGCGATCGATGTCGATTACGTTCAACGAGGCAGGAAGAGGAGTCCGTCGCCAAAGAAGGAAGAGCCGAAACGGGTTCTGCACGAGAGGGAGGTCAACAGAGGGTTAGCTGATATGACGGACTGGGCAGTGCCGGTTGAGCGGGGTGTCGAGAGAGGGGAAGAACCTCCACGGAAGCGTGAAGTCACCTACACATTTGGTGATGAAGGATCGCAATGGCGGATGACCAAGCTAAATGCAGTTTACAACACGGCTGAGCAGTCAGGCAAGTCAGTTGAGGAGGTCGCCATTGAACGTTTCGGAAGCCTCGATGAATTCGATGAGGCCAGGGAAGAGAAAATCGAGTTGGAAAGGAGGAAGCTGTACGGCGAGGGCTACGCTGGCAAAGAGAAGCCAACGGGCGAGCTTTACGCAGAGCGCCTGGCAAAGATGCATTCCCGGCAGCCCGAATCCCCCGGCCGCGGCGCTTCACCGCCGCCCGCACAAGGCCTTGTCATCGAGGATCAACTACAGAAGGCGCCTCCCATCGACCAATCGACCCTCAACCGCATGCGCGCCGCCCTTATGAAAGCCAAGCTCCGCAAGGCCCCCGAAGCCGCCAAGCTCGAAGAAGAGTACAACGCCGCCATGGCCGCCTTCCAAGCCGGGAACGCCTTCCAAGCCGGCAGCGTCTCAGGCGCCGCCGTCGTCCTCAACGCCTCTCACAACCGCATGCTTGCCGGTCCGCGCGGCGAAGTCGTAGCGGTAACCAACACCAAGCGCGGCCGCGAGCGCGGCACCGTGATCGAAAACGAAGACATGTCCATCGACGACATGGTTCGCGAAGAGCGCCGCACGCGCGGCCAAGCCGGCGGCGAAGGCTTGCGGTTAGCCGAGCGCATCGCCAAAGACGCCAAGTTTGACAACGACCTCGAGTACCTGGACGAAAACGCCGCTAAACTCGCCAAGCGCGTGCACAAGAACGAGGCTTCCCTGAAAAACGTGGCCGTGGCCGAGTATCGCAAGCTAAACAAGATCCTGGATACCTGCCCCTTGTGCCATCACGAAGAACAAGCCCCTCCGAGAAACTTGCCAGTCGCGCCCATCGTGTCCCTCGCCACCCGCGTCTACCTGACCTTACCGCCTGCCCCCGAACTGAACGGTGCCGAAGGCGGCGCCTTGATCGTGCCCATCAGCCACCGCACCAATTTACTCGAGTGCGACGACGACGAGTGGGAAGAAATCCGCAACTTCCAAAAGTCGCTGACCCGCTTATACCACGAACAAGGCCGCGAGGTTTTGTTTTACGAAAACGCCGCCGCTCCCGGACGCAGGTTGCACGCCGCCATGGCAGCCGTCCCCATCCATTGGGACCTGGGCGATACCGCGCCCGCCTTCTTCCGGGAGGCGATGCTTAGTGCCGACGATGAGTGGGCGCAGCACAAGAAGATTATTGACACGGGCAAAGCGGCGAAAGACATGGGAAGGATGGCGTTTAGGAGGAGCATCGCGAAGGAGATGCCATATTTCCATGTGTGGTTTGGACTGGATGGCGGGTTGGGACACGTGGTGGAAAACTCGGAGAGGTGGCCGCGGGGAGACCTTTTTGCGAGGGAGATCATTGGCGGGATGTTGGATGCTGAGCCAGATGTGATTAAGAGGCAGGGCAGGTGGGACAGAGCCGGGGATGCGGAGAGGGCGGAAGGGTTTAAGAAGCGGTGGAGGAAGTTTGACTGGACTAGGGTATTGACTGAGGGGGCTTGAGTATGCCCTTCTGATGATGGTTGTGGTCAATATTTTCTGTCATTTTCTAGGAACGTCAATATGGAAAGACTCGAGGGTATAACTCCTATGGTACCCCTATACATCATGACTATTCGTAAAGAGAACGCATTCAAATCGAGCTGCACTCAGGGTATCTTTACTGTCAGTATATCTCCAATACATCATCTTTGTGCTCAACCAGGTCGAATGGGTATTAGTTTCAACATTTTATCGTGTTTTTGTTTCGCTTTTAACCAGAAAAAAACCGCCCCGCTACATTAATGCCGGATTCTTAATCCTTAACCCTCCTCAGCATCCATATGGTCACGGCCGCCAGCGCCACCCTGGCCGTTTCCGCGCTTCCGCTTGAGAATGCCGCCGTGCTTGCCCTGGTTCTCCATCAACGACTTCATCTCGTTCCTGGCATGGCGCTGGGCCTCCTCGACACGGGGCTTGAACACCATAACCTCGTCCTTCTCCAGGGGGTACTCGTCGAGCTTGTGGCCGAGAGCGGCTTCGATACGGAGCCAAATTTCGAGATCACTATATGATGGTTAGGTTCATTTTTGGTCGTACAAAATGGTAAAGATTGGGAAGGAACTTACTATTGCGTGACAATACTGATAGCATGACCAGACTTGCCCGCACGAGCAGTACGACCGACACGATGGACGTAGGTCTTGGAGTCCTGGGGAAGATCGTGGTTGATGACGCAGTCGACGTTGGGGATATCGAGACCACGAGCAGCAACATCGGTAGCGACGAGGATCTCGCGGGAACCGGCACGGAACTTGTTCAAGGCGCCGAGACGAGAAGGACTGCGAGAGACCACCGTGGAGGGGGATGGCTCCCATGCCGAGGGTGCGGAGCAGGATGGCAACGCGCTGGGTTTCCAGCACGGTTCTGGTGAAGATGATGATGGTCTGCCCGGCGAACTCGTTGCAGAGGTAGACTAGGTAGGTGTCCTTGTGCATGTGGGGGATGAAGACGTAGTTGGACTTGAGCGTCGAGACGGTGGCGTACTTGTTAGTCGACACGCTGACCTTGAGGGGATCCCGCAGCGACGCGCGCTGGAGAGACTCGACCTTGCTGGACATGGTGGCGGAGAAGAGGAACGTCCTGCGCTCGCGGGGCAGGAACTTGAGGATCTTCTCGAGAATCGGACCGAAGTCCATGTCGAGGAGACGATCGGCTTCGTCCATGACCAGGTACTGCATGCTCCGCAAGCTGAAGCCCTTGGTCTTCTCCAAGTGATCGAGCAGCCTACCGGGAGTCGCAACGATAACATGGGGCTTCTTTCCGAGAGCAATCGCCTGCGTAACCATGTCCATACCACCCAAAATCAGAGCGCATCTTAGCGAGATCAAGCTGCCGAGCGCTTCAAAGGCCTGGGCAATCTGGGCTGCCAGTTCTCTTGTGGGCGCAAGGACGAGGGCAAATAGAGGTTGTGGCTTGTCGAGGAGCGCTTGTAGGATAGGGAGGGCAAAGGCGGCTGTTTTACCGGAACCGGTCTCGGCAATACCAATAATGTCGCGGTTTTGGAGGGCGAGAGGAATCGACTCTGCTTGAATAGGGGTGGGGTTCTTGTATCCGAGACGTTCGCAAGCTTCGCAGAGGGCATCGACAATTCCCTGTGTAGGGCATCAGTTAGCACTTTGGCAGCATTGACATGGACCGGGTTAACAGGTAAACATACAAGATCCTTGAAGGTCTTCTTGACGGCCTCAACCTCGCCTTCTTGTTCCGGGGCATTGTCGAGAGTCGCGGAGTCTTCTTCTGTCGAGTTGGCGGCGGAGGTGACTGCTCTGTTGGCTCTGGCGCATCCTGCTTCTTTTCCGTCTTCTCGGCCTTCTTGGTGGTGGTGGTGGTAGTGGACTTGTCCTTGGAGGACTTATCCTTGACGGCCTTCTTTTCCTTCTTTAGCTCGGGGGCAGAAGGAGCAGTCGCCTTCTTGAGGGCGCTGGGCTCGTCAGAAGTTTTCCTCCGTTTTGTCGACATGATGGGGTGGTGATGTGTATGGTGAATAATCGGGGGTGGACCGACGGTGGTTCGGGCGGCCTTCAAATCCCAGTGAACTTTTATGTCACTTTCCATTGATCTTCCCCAAATTTCCAGGCTTATCGGTTGGCGGGTCCTGCACGATAAGCCCCGGCCCCACCGAAATTTTTGTCAGAACGGGCCATTGTCCCAAGCTTCTCCATCAGGGACGCCCATTGGCATTTGCCTTGCAATTCTGCACTGTTCTTCGAGTCTGCCAGATCCAGACCTTTAAACAAAAACATCATCATCACCACCTCTTTCTTCACCACACATATCACCCACCCACACATAATCACCACACCACATTCAAAATGGCCAGGAAAAGAGTCAAGAAGAGAACCCACGTCGGTGCCAAGAACCCCGTGTCTTCGGCCGCCCTTAACGGCCATGCCGACCGCAAAGATCCCAAGAGCATGGTCATTCGCATTGGCGCCGGCGAGGTAGGAACCAGCATCAGTCAATTGGCTACCGATGTCAGGAGAGTCATGGAGCCCGGTACCGCGACAAGGTTGAAGGAGAGAAAGGCCAACAGACTTCGCGACTACGTTACCATGTGCGGTCCTCTGGGCGTTACCCATCTTATGCTCTTCTCCAGATCCGAATCTGGAAACACCAACCTCAGACTTGCTATTGCTCCCCGGGGCCCTACATTCAACTTCAGAGTCGACAAGTACTCTCTCGCAAAAGATGTGCGGAGGGCGCAAAGGCATCCCAAGGGTGGCGGCAAGGAGTATCTCACTCCCCCATTGGTATGTTGCTGTCCGCACTTTGAAGCTACCTTCTCGTCCTGGAACATGCTAACCGTGTAAATCTAGTTGGTCATGAACAACTTCACAGATTCTAATGCCGACGCCAACTCCAAGGTCCCCAAGCACCTCGAGTCCATCACAACGACCGCCTTCCAGTCCCTCTTCCCTCCCATCAACCCCCAGAAGACCCCTCTCAAGTCGATTCGCAGAGTATTACTTCTCAACCGTGAGAAGTCGCCCGAGAACGACGGCTCCTTCATCATCAACTTCCGTCACTACGCCATCACAACAAAGGCCGTCGGCATGTCCAAGCCCCTTAGGCGGTTGAACGCCGCCGAGAAGCTCATCAAGTCCAAGAGCAGGAAAGGCGGTCTTCCCAACCTCGGCAAGCTCCGCGACATTTCAGAGTTCATGATCGGTGGAGAGGATGGCTCAGGCTACATGACAGACGGCACAAGCGGCAGTGAATACGACACCGACGCCGAGATCGAGATCCTGGACCAAGGCCCGAAGAAGGTCAAGAGCGCCAAGGCCCGCGCTGCCATTGCGGCGGTAGAGGCTGCTGAGGATGAGGAGGAGGGCCACAACGACAACGTTGAGCGCAGGGCAGTAAAGCTGGTAGAGCTCGGACCTCGCATGCGGCTACGCATGACCAAGGTCGAGGAGGGCATCTGCTCAGGAAAGGTGTTGTGGCACGAGTATGTGCACAAGACCCAGGAGGAGATCAAGGAGCTGGAGAAGAAGTGGGAGCAGAAGAGGAGAGAGAAGGAGGCGCGCAGGAAGCAGCAGAAGGCGAACGTGGAGAAGAAGAAGGCCGAGAAGGCTGCTCACAGGAAGGCGACCGGCGGAAAGGGCAAGGACAGCGACGACGAGGACGAGGATATGGACATGGAAGACTACCCGTATGACAGCGACATGTACGACAGCGAGGGACTGGCTGGTGATGCTGAGGAGCAGGTCAATGCCAGGATGGAGCAGGACGGCGAGTGGTCGGACGAGGAGGAGGATATTGCCAAGGAGGAGCAGGCGAAAGGAAAGAAGAAGCCGGCTTTGAGATGATGGTGAGGGAGTGCTGAAGAAGTCGTGTACGTGGAGCAGACCCGGTCTCCCCCTTTTCATTTTTTGTCCAAATTTTCATGTCATGTTTTTACGGTTAGCATATGCCCTCAACCACTGGGCCGGTATCTTGGGAATAGCCCTTCATCGGAAATAGTATTGGCGCTGATACCAAAGACACAGCCAGGATCACTCACTTACCTTACTCAGCCTGCATCAGATATCCTGTTCCACTGTCAAGACACCAATCCCATGAATGACCATCCTCACCGTGCCCTCCCTTCCCCGCTATCCACCACACCCATGATCTCAATAACACCGTCCTCCTGCCAAGTAAACCTTGGCAAGATTCACCAGATGTGCACCGGTCTGTGACGGTGTAACCCGTGGCTGCATCAACCGCCCCTCAAAGTGATCAAAAGGGTAATGGCACGACAGCAGATGCTCGGTTTCACGCCTCGGAGGAGACCGTCGTAGGTGTACAGACTACAGAGAGGGGCAAAACAGGACGGGATTACTGTCCACAGCTTGCTGCCGGTATCCTGTAGTGTAGCTGTAAGGTGTCGTGGTGTTGTGGTATCGTGGTTGAAGTTTGGTGTGAATTGTTTTCTGTTTCCACAACACATCCCACCCTTCTTTTCACTTCCCACTGCACTTCCACTTTTCGAACCGAGCCGAGCCACTTACCGTTCCTCTCGCCCAGCCCCTACACTAGCTACCTATCCTCCTATCAACGCTCGGTCTCTCGGCTCGTGGGCAGGTGGTGAAAGCAATTCGGGTTACCAGTTGCCATACAAAAATAAGTGGGTAACCTGTATTCTTTTCACCACTTTGGTGGGGTACCTCTCTTTTCTCAATTGTCTGCCGTGCCTGCCTGCGTGCGTGGTTCGAGATGGAGTGGGCAATGGCTTGATACTTTCATAGGACCATAGGGAAGTACAGGAGTGGATGTAACTCCATTTGCTGCGCCTCGGAGAGTGTCTCCGTACCTCCGTACCTTTTCGCCCGTAGTTACGCTCGGCTGGGTCTCGGATTTAAGGACCGAGTCGCTTGGGAGGTCGGGGTAAACGAATAGGGGGGGGGGGAATCATCTCTTGGCTCTCCATGGGGTTTTGGGTTGGAGGTTGGAAGGGAAGATCGGTTGATGATTGAAGCTTGTTTGGGTGAGCTCGTCTGCTGGTTTGTTCAGGTTTTATTTTTCCAAGATGTTTGGCGATGATTTTGAAAAGTAGACTACGGATTCAATCACCAAGATGGAAGCAGTCGTCTTGTTCATTCAAATGTTTAGATATTTCACGCCCTCAAAACTTTGGGCAATGTATAAACTACTAACACATCGAAAATGAAGATGAATAAAATGAGGAGGCAGCTTGGGGCGCAAGAGGCCGGCGATGGGCATTTCGCTCAGCTTTTCACCCTTTACTCCTCCCATTTTTAATCCTGATGATGCTGGATAACCAGGCGTCGGCCATTGTGACTTCTCACGCCTTTCTTCCTTCCAAATGACAAAGCAAAAACAATACCCGTGGGTATCCCAATCCTCCAAATGTCCCCTGAAAAAATTCCAAAATCGCATGGTTCAGATGATGCGCAAAGGCAATGCTTCTGACGCTGATGCATGAACCCCCCGTTTCCCGTGATATCCTAAAAGGGCAAACTCCGTGCCAGGAAACCCAAAAAAAAAAAAAATAAAAAAAAACGACCAAAAACTCCATCTCTCCGTAAAAACTCCAGATTCGTCATAAAATCATTTCATGAAATCGGCTCAAGCTTTGCTCAAGTTGTCGCCTCAGTCACTCAGTTCGTCGTTGTGTCGAGAAAAAAAAGAGTGTCGGTCGCGAAACAGCAGCAGAAGTGAGACTCGCTCACTGCCTCTGCTGAGCCTCATAAGCCCTAACAGCCCGCTCCAGCTCCTCAAGGCTGCCGCGGTCGCCGTAGGCGTCCGCCAACATGTTGGCGCGACGCCGCCTCTCGAGCTCGGCTTGCTCCATGGCGGCTACCCGCTTTTCCATTTGAATTTCGCGGAAGGTGGTGATGCCGTAGCCGACAGCGAGGATGCCTACTAGGGGCGGAAGCCTACGAAGTGAAATGTGTTAGTGAGATACATGGTGGTTTGCGGGCAAGTGGGACCAAAACTAACCATTTGAGACCCTTGGAGGATTTGTTGGAGGCTTGGTAGAGGTGGGGGAGGGCGCTGGGGTATACGCGAGCCGAGGTGGTGAGGAGACGGGAAGGTTGCTGGCGGTTCATTTTAAGTTTTTGGTTGTTGGTGTTGTTGATTTGAGTTGTTATTGGTTACTTGGTGTAAGAGGCAGTCGACGGCGCTAGTATAAGCTTGTTGTTGACTGCTGTGGTAGATGATGTTGTTTGTTGTTGTGATGTTTTTGTTATTGTTATTATAGGTGACTGAGGCGTCTTGAGCTCGAGTAGATGGATGTAGGTGTTGATATATCGATGGATGATGACGGTGATGGTGATGATCTCTTCCTTTCGAGAAAGAAGGGGGGAGTGACGTCTTCTTATATATTTCCAAGATGGGTCTATTGTTGACGTCCGGTGGATACCTGTTCACGGCACGCCTAGCTCGTAGCACGCGGAGGATTCGAGCGAACTGGAGCTGTGCTGGAGCAATGAAGAGAGATAGCGTGGGGAAGCGGAGATCCCAAAAGGGCCAAGGCAGGGCAGATTGCAGATCGGATTGCGGAGTTGAACAACGAGATTGGGAACACTTTGGGTCGCCAGGGGGTAGAAGATGCTCTGATGGTTCAGCGGTCACCCTTTCTCTCCTTGTAATAGGCGCGAGTCAGGTATATGTATCCTCGTCGGCCTCCTTCTGCCCCTTCGGCATGAGGGTGTGTGTGTGTGTGTGAGAGAGAGTGTGGGTTGGGTAGCCAATATGGGATGCAACACCACCAGGGCTTTTTTGCATATGCAAGTGGAAAAGTAGGCCTGTCAACCGAAGGGAGCCGTAAGATCATTCATCATGGTGGCATGGAAGCCATCCGAGGGCATCCCATGGTGGGGTGATCAGGTTAGAAGGGTGGTCTCACCAGCTGTTTATTATTCCCATCCAGCCCGTCTCTGCCTTCCCACTCGTTCAAACTGTTTGGCCGTTCAGTTTCACCCCTCCATTGTCGTCCATGCCAGACATGTCATTTGCCAGATGCTCGAACATGCCTCTCCCCAGATTGCCCAGACACATCCCCAGACGTTCACTGGCTGGTGGTCCTTATTTCCGTCGGTTGATTGGTCAGGGGCTGTCGTACATTGTGGGGGACAGCAGCGGCCAGGCAGCTTGGTGTAAGTGGCAAGCCGAGGGACGACACCCAAACGCAAAGCCGAATGCCCCGGAGTGTCCCGCGGCTGCCAGCTGCACGTACCCCAGACGGCTGCGGCGCTTGGCCATTGCCCGACATATGTCAGCTGCCAGACTGTGCCGCTGCCCGGGCGCATGCGCCCAGTTTTGGACAGAATGAAGCCACATTCCAAACTTGCATGTGAGAGAAGGTGCAAGGAACGGACGGACCGTTCGGATTGGCGCGGGGTCCGGGGAAATCTGTCAATGGGCGGGCGGAAACAAGAGTCGCAGATTGGGTCGAGAATCGTGCCATTGATTTTAAAGCCATTTTAGCATCTGTACGATCTGGGGCACATCTCAATCTAAACAATCCCGCTCACGATCTCGGGAAGTGTCAACAAAGACCCCTATTCATTTCTTGCTTTCCCGTCTCTCCCTCCCGACGCCCAGCGGTTGCGGTGAACGTCTGGCAAATCTCCACGGCAACTGGCAACTTCGAGAAAACACGTCGCCCGAAGCTCGATACAAGCTCGGCTTCAAACGGACTCGCGGAGACCCCGACAAAAACCGAGCGAGCTGGATGTGGAGGTGGACCTCACCTCGTGAACTGCCTCTCGTAAAAGCCTCACGGGCCTCCCCCAGCGACAGTCGGTGTTGAATTCTCTCCGTTCCCCGTTGTCTCCGTCCGTCGTGATCATCGTCGTAGCCACGCCATGGAGGAGGCAGCCACCGGCCACCGCCATTCACTCACGATGGTCCTCGGCCATGGTGTTTTTTTGGGGGGGTTTCCACTTCTTATTGACAAGTCCGCGATCCACTCACTGCCCCTAACAATTTCCAACAACCGACGCTAACTGCCATGCTTTCTTCCGGACCCCAGTGCCTCCTTCGTCAACAACGTCGTCACCGCCGCCAAGCGGTGATGATGTAAGTCTTGGCGCTGAACCAACGGCACAAAGGGTCCAAATCTTCCTGACTTTTCAGGATTTCAGGGTTCCAAACTATAACAAAGGGTCCACCGGAGAATTGACGGTTTCTGACGATCGTCGCCGTTGACGTCCACCGCTCTCCTTTTGGACGTAAAGTGATCAGTCGAGACTTCGGAACCGGCCGATTGACAGGTCACAACTCCATGCTCAAAGCTACCTTCGCATGATGGCATCTGCTGAGAGCCTGAGAAGAATACGGGGCACATGGCCATGATGCTTACATTTACAGCTCTTACATGCAAGATGCGAGGACGTCAGGCTGCACATGATACTTGCGGTTTGCATTGTCCGCATTGCGCAAATGTCAGTTCGTTGGATAACGCATCGCATGAAGCAATTTGACACGATTCCGCCTTTTACGATATTGAAAATTCCGCTATCCCCGCGCGTAGTGCGCATCTGCATGGCCTCCTCCCCATTTCCCTCCGTCCGCCTCGTGGTTCTCAAATGTTCAAGCTGAACGTGAGATTTTTCAGGTCACGATATTGGGGCGAACTGAAGCAATTTTAGCAATTGCCATAGTGCCCATCATCATCGTCACAATCAAGAGCTCCACCCGAAGGCCTAGGGCGCTTCAAGTAGGGTTAGGGTACACAACACAACTGATGGGCGACGAAGCTCCCGGCGAGTCTTCATGACAATGGCTTCCTTACCCCGGGTTATCCGGATCTCTTCATCACATATCCCGGACGCTGGGGGATCTTTTTTAGGATTCTTTTGGTTGGCAAGCCTGCTCTACCACGCGCGATCTCATTCGGAACTTCTGGACGATGATGGTCGAAGTTGAGCTTGGGCCAGTGTCTCGTGACCGGCAAAACAGCAGTTCGTGGTCAATCTCGGATAGTGACACTCGACGGTCATGGAAGCACCAAACATGATACTCGGTATTTTCGGGGTTCCGTTGCATTAATTTGCTTATGAAATCTAGTTGACTGCGCGCTGGTTGAAGTTCCCGTCGAGCACACGGCAGTCCAAAATGGAGCATAAGCGGTGGATGTTTGGACCGATGGCTCAAGCTCTCAAGCATCACCACTCTCTCACAGTCACAAACATGGAGTCAACCGCGGTCTACAACAAAATAAGTTTTGGGGTGTTCAGTAATTCAATTCACAATACTGATCCTCCTTAGAAGCGAAATATGAACACACAGACAAATCGGAAACTCGACAATCTGGAACAGCTGTACGAAGGATACCGTCAACGGTTCAACCGACCATACCCATGACCCGAGGCTTCACTCCGTCCCCGCCCCCGATTTAGTGCCTCGTGTCGCGCGCCGAACTAAACCCGGATCCGGATCCGGATTCATGTCGGCAATACCTCAAGACCGTCCCTAGCCCCGCAAGCAATCGAATTCCATCATTGCCTTCCATTCCTTTTCGACCTGCCTTCGAATCTCAACCAAGCCCATCACAAACCTCATCATCACCCGGCATTCCCCATCCCGTTCCCCCTCACGACCTTTAGAAGTTCAGGTTGTCCTTAGTCTCCAGTCACACTCCACCAATTTAGTCATCATGCTTAGGAGGCCCAGTAGGGGTAGGCTTCGGCGACTTGCTGCTATGGCTGGGCTTAGGCGGCTTGCCAGTGACGGTCGGCTTCGGCGGCACAGGCACAGTCACCGAAGCAGTAACGGTCGGCTTGGGCGGGGGACCGGTAGGCTTGGGCGGCAAGCTGACGGTGGGCAGGGGAGGCAAGCTCGGGACCGGGACGGTGGCGGTCGGCTTGGGGGGGAGAGGAGGGAGAGAGGGAGCCGAGTGCGTGTGGGTCGGCTTGGGAGGGCGGGTTGGCTTAGGTGGCAAGCTTGGGGCTGGAAGGGTGCCGGTGGGCTTGGGGGGCAGAGACGGGAGTGGAAGGGTGCCGGTGGGCTTTTCCACCTGGGCGACGGGGGCGCCGAGGACTTGCTGGAAGGCGGCGGCCGTGGCGAGGAGGGTGAGCAGGATGCGGGTCATTCTTATGAGTGTTTCTGGGTTTGTTTATGTGGTAGGTAAGTAAGTGCTGGGTTGGATGATGGCTTGGCTGGTGGGACTACTTTGGCTTGATGAGCTTGAGTCTGCTGGATAGAAATCTTCTTGTCTTTGGGGGGTTCCTGAAGGGGTTATATACTCGTCGAGGTGAGTGAGTCTTCTCTGGTCTTTTTGGTGAGCTCTGATATATGATACCGAAACGCCCGGCTGCACTCTGTAAGCGATGGCGAACAGGTCACATCCTGTTCATTCACCATAGCCATGGCAGCTTGGCTTGCCCACCTAACAGCTACCTATGACTGACCTCTGAGAGCCGGAGGAAGCATCGTCAACCGGACGGACGCAAAAACAGAGAATGTATGTGTAGATGCAACGCCGAAAAGGGTAGTCATCGCCGGTTTGCTTGCGGTTCCATCCCCGAGCCGTTCTTCACCTTGCAATACCTTCTATTGCACCCTAATACCGCCATCTTTACTCACGATGTCGAATGGGTTGAGCAAGAGGTAGGTAGGTGTGCATGAAACACAATATGAAGAGGCTAAAGTGGTTCCGGCCGGCCGCCATTCAGTTTTCAATAAACCATGGTCGTTAATCTATCGAACTCCGGGCAAAAGTTAGATTACTTCCTGCCGCGTCCACGTCATCTAAGCAACTCAAAATGCCAGGTCAGTAATGAGATTAACACGGTGAGACGAGAGATCAAATATCCCCCGTTGCAACCGGGGTAGGTGGTGGGATCGGTTGAATGTATGTCGTGATGTTCATTTTCATTGGGCTCTCCGCTTTTTTTGCAACCGCCTGCCGCTCTTTCTTATTACACTCACTCTACTTCCCATAATGCGACCTGGCTCTGGAAAGATTTTCCCCGTTTCTTGTGCGCCACGAGCCTGGTTAGCACCGCTGCTATGCCATACCGCACTCATATGATTCAATGATCGCAATTCGCGATCCGAGGTCTCGTTTGAACACATCTGTGTACTGGCTTCGAAAGAAACTCCAGAAGTTCACGGAGTAAAGTCCGTACAAGCAACCTTTAGTCCGGTAGTCAAGTCTTGGGTCGCTTACCATCCATCAAGTGCCGGTAAATCGACCATAGTCAGCAGCATTTTGGTCTCGCCAAGTTCAGATTTACTTGACATCTGAGTCTAGACCGTTTTTTACTTCCTGGGTCCAATCCGGGGAAACGCGGGGTGGCTGTAACGGTAGTCGTAAGCTCATTCTAGGATGTTGAGCTTATTTCCTCTTCCGTTGCAACAAAACCTTGGGTTAGGTATCCGGAACTCCTGGAACATTTCATGGTCAAGGTTGCGACACGCAATCACAGTCAATAACATCGCATCAATGAGAGGCCGCGAACTTAATTGGGAGAGACGCGGGATAAACTTCTCCGCTCGTCCTTAGCAGAGCACAATGTACTCTCTCGATGCACGAGTGCTCCGTTGCCCGGAACAGGAAATCTCACGGCACTGGCATAACTCGGCACCATGCAGGAACATCAATGTGTTGTGGTTGAGAAGAAAATTGTCAAAGTGAAACCTATAGCCTAGGCTAAATGGACGTCAGGAAGATGGATCAATCGTCGTCATAATAAGCTCTTATTGTGACATGGCCCGCCCTCCCACATCCCGAACTCTATCTGGCAGCTAAAGCTTTGCCGCGAATCATGAATGAACAATACAACATAATGCTCCTAGCATTATGAGCAAGGAAAGCAAGAAATCCGAATAAGAGACGAAGCTGGTGACCTCCCCGAGTTTCTTGATCACTCTCAATATAAGCATGAAAGCTTTTGAAAGCCGTACCATGAGTGCTTAAAGAGCTGACCAAACGGGAAGATGATGGTATATGTACAGGAATATGAACAAAAGAGAGTATAGAACAGTTGGATATGTGCAATAGAAAATGTCCACTCAACGCCCGCCGATATCGATCCGAGATGATCGGGAGATTTATGTGCCAAACCCACAGGCTGTCGACTGCCACATCGACGATTCACTTTGCAGAGAAGCAAAGCTAAAACCCTCGACGATTAGCGTCGGCTGCCACATCGACTACTTACTTTTGCTGAGAAGCAAAAGTAAAGCGCTCAACCCTCAGTTGCAATGCGACCACCAGTCACCGACCTTGACACAGCTATAAGGAGCCCGGCAAGAAGTCGGACCCTTATAGTCTTTGCCGCCGCACTGTTCCCACTGGTTGACCAGTCCAGCAGCCTGAGTAGGCGCAGACACAACCGTTGTGCTCTTAGCCGAAGAGGTCGTAGTCGACGTGCTCATGGTAGTCGCGGAGGGACCGTTGACCGTGGCTGTAACCCAGACCGTAACCGTAACCCAGGTAGTGGCAGTATGAACTACGAGTGTGGAAGCAGTCGTAGCAGGAGTAGACACTGAGGTAGTCACAACAGGCGGGGCTGCGCCACCACCGTCTCCGCCAGTTGAGCCCAGGGCCGCGGCAACGCTGTCGAGGAAGCCGGTGTTGCGCCAGACTTGGGTCATATCCCACATCATGACGCCGCCAAAGCTCGAGAAGGTCTGCGAGTACTTGATGACGTTGGTCAGGGCGGTTCCAGAAATATAACCAATGCCCGCAGCCGACTGGCCGCCTGGGACTCCGACGAGAATCTTGACATTCGGGTTCTTGCTGACTGTCTTGGCCCAGTTGTCCCAAGTGTCGAAGTTGAAGTTGTTCTGGTTCGGGGCGCCAAACTGGAAGGTATGGACACCGCAGTAGTTGTTGTAGAACTGCACCGAGACAAAGTCAAATGCCACATTGCGCAGGAGGTCGTTGTTAGCGAGGTCTGGGAAGGGGCATTGCGGCGCGGAACTCAAGAGGAACTTTCTGCCGGAAGTGGCTGCGGCGGAGTCCATGAGGGAACGAAGGCGAGTGGCGAAGGGGACGATTTGCCCGGCGGGGGACTCAAAGTCGAAATCAAAACCATCAATCACAGCACTGCCAAAGGGGCGCTTGTCTGAGCTGCTCGAAACAGGGCCGAACATGGCCCAGATACGGTCGGCCGCGTTGATGGCTTCGTCCGGGGAATTGAAGCCGGCCTCATAGTATGTAGCACCGCCGATGGAGAGAAGAATTGATTTTCCGAGGGACTGGCAGATCTTGATGTCCTCCCTGTGTGTTCAAAGCGGTGGTTAGAGCTTTGGTCTTCCTGTGAGCGAAGAGTGGATTGGGAAGGTAGGGAACTTACTCTATCTGAGGGCACCGATTTTTCAGAATTCCGCCAGGAAAAGTGGTGCAGTTATCACCAGCATTTGCAAAGTTGACATCACCATCCTTGATCACAGTGAGAAACGCCAGAGGAATGGTGTTGACGTTGGTGTCTGTGAATCTCAAGTGTCAGATGAGTGACAGGAAGGTGATTTGGCCCAATTTCGAATCAAATTGAAGGGAAGGTGATACGTACTACGACAGTAGTAGACAAGACGCTGCTGAGCGCCAGGAACATTGCCAGAGTTCTGACCTGTATTGCGACAATTGATCCCATGGTTAGCTCTTTCGGTCCTCGAGTATTGACGGATTGTGCGCCTTGTCGATTGGAAGAAGCTGCTCACCCCAGTAGATGGCGACATTGCCGTTGGAACCCGGCGAGAAGCCCGCAGTCGCACCGGGCAAGGAGTTGACGAGCGCAAAAAGTGCGGCGAGCATCGAAGACGAGTACATCTTCGACGAGGAAAGAGTGGTCGTGCGCTCAAGAGATGGTTGAGTTTTGCGGTGTTGTGTGTTGTTTTGAGGAGAGAAAGCGAGTCCCCTTGGTGGTGATGGAGGACGACGGGAAGGGCTGGAAAGGGTTGAACCCCACGAGGGGTCGGTGGAAGATGGTGGAAGGGGGCAACCACCATGGGCAAGTGAATGGAAGACGAAGTGAATTGAAAACAGAAGCGGGAGGGACAGGCAGAATCTTGCGGCTCATCCAGCAACGGTTCTCTAATTTGGAAGGTTGCGGAAGGCACGACTTGGGATGGAATACTGGAAGGTGAAGCTGCAGCCTGGGTTTCGATCCGGTCAAGGAAGGTGCGGTCAGTGGCAGATCGTCCGAGATATAAGCCTCTACTCAGTCCTTCCTGCTCCTCACTTTCGTCACGTAAGGAAGGCCCGTAGAGTACCTGATATTTACGTGAATTAAAATTCCGTTCAAACTTCGAGTTCGTTTTCGACTCTGTCGCCCTTCCCCTCTTTCTTCGAGTCTGGATCGCACGTTGTTCTTGCAACGACGTGATACCCGTGACGCTGGCACGTAACACATTCTAACACGCGCTCCTCCCCCCGATGGAATGGAAATGAGATGGAAGACAGACATCGAAGTTGTCTTGGGAAGCGGGCTCCGGACAAGAGAGGATAGAATGCACATGAACTGATGTTAATGGAATGCCAGGCCGCGAGCCTCTTGTATATCAGATCAGATTGCAACAACTGACACGTGAGTTATGAAAAGGCTGATCTAGAACCATTGATGCCATGTGCTGGTTGATTCGACCTTGCTATTTATATTGTCGAGCTAAGCTTTCTTGTCGTGCACCACCTGAAACTGTCCGAGTCAACTTGTTTAGTTCGGTAGATGCCACGAGAAGGCTGCCTGCAGGATCTGAATCTCCCTTCACGAGAGATATACGACGGTGGCAAAAGAGATTTGTAAAGCCTAGACCGTCCAACACTGCGTGTCTCTGGTGTAGCTATCTTGACCAAGCGAATGCGAAGCATTAGCTCGACCACAATCTCGCTAATCAGGCAATGAAGGGCAAGACTCACTCTCCCATCACCATTTTCTTCGTCCCTCTCCCCGCAATGTTTCCCCATGGATCTCCTGCACTTCAGCTTTGCTAGTCTCTTTTGTATTCCTGTCTAACGTTGGGTGTCAGGGAAGGCAAGTGTCCACCGTTACAGTCTATCAATCGGCAAGGGACCAAGTGACCACAACTATTTGTTCTAGGGCACACAGTTGATCATTGAATTTTTGTTCTACCGTAACATATGTACATGTAACAGTGAAAAACATGTGCCACGCTTCATATCTGGCTCTCAAGTTGTAGTGACACCATGGAGAGCTCTTGACCCCTTGCAGTAGTGCTCCCCTTTATGGAATCGATGGCACTCAACAACCTGACAGTATGGATATTGTGAAACTCAAGGTAAATGAACCATGATTCCCGTCGAGTTTCGGGGCTGTGATAGCACTAGCAATCTCGAGTTTGATGCCTGTCGGTAACGTTGCAAGGGGTGACTTTCAAGAGTACTTGGTGTTTCCGCGGGAACTACCATTGCACAAGAATGCAAAGTGGTGAAAGACAAGATGAGGACTCGGCAAGGGTAGTGCAAAACACCTCGAGGCATAGTAAGTTGTTGATGTACCCGGGTTTTGTCGCATCGACGTCATGTGTCCGGAGATGTTGTTGTGTAAAAGTAGGATCGGGTAACCAGTCTTTTGTTGGCGAAGAATGCTCAGTACACCCCTTTCTTATCGTGAGCCCGAATCCATTCTGCTAATCTTACAGCATGGCTTTGGGATTCCCAGCTTTCCTAGACCTGAACCAAGTCTTTGAAGCCATTGTCATCCTCCCTCTTCATGGTCACTGTAAGTTTTTGTCCCTTGGGCCGCTCCTTGCATCAGTGCATCAGTGTCCATCTCTGTTTCGGCTCCACTGTCCCGCTTGCGCCTCGCATTCGAATAGTCCTGTGAAAGACAACGGTTCGCACGCCGCCCATCCACAGTTGTATCTCCGCTGTTGTCGTCCCCATCGTCGTAGCCGGCACAGGTCTCTACGCGCTGCATCCGGGGTCGTTTTTGTCTTGGATGTCTCATCTCGTCCGAACTACTCGATCTCCTTTTAACTTCCACTGTCGGCCATGGCGGATCTCTGACGTGAACTTCGCTTGGTGTCGATGGTTCCCCTACTTCGTCCTTCTTTTCCGCGCGGACGTCGTACAATACAGCCCCATGAACCCCACCCCACATGTCTGTACGATCAGGACTATTCTCCCCGCCCGTCAAGAGATCCATGTTCAGCGGGTGCATTTGCCCGCCAGATTGCTTGACGTGGAATTGGTCCTTGGAGTTCCGCCATTCGCGGTTGAACATGTGGTCGTGTGGGTTGCCGGCCGCTTCGAGGTCGGGCTGCCAACCATTACACGTATTGGGAGTGCCGCAGTCATTCGACAGGGGAAAGCAGCTGCGCCGACGATTGGATTGCTTGAGGATCTTACCGAGGAATTCGGCAATATTCATCTCAATGTAGAGCTTGGCCATGTAGGTTAGCGGATGAACTTGGACATAGAGTGCGTCGTTGTCAAGAGACATGAGACCGATGATCAGAGCCTGTTTATCGAAATGGAATCGTTAGCACATGCATCGTGGGTTGGCATGCGAGGAAAAAGAATGATGCTTACATCAAGCGAGAGTGAAATGAAGACCATGAACAGATTGAATCTGTACACGAGTTTGTACTTGGTCAACCCGTTGGCGACCAATTTCGACTTGATAAGCCACATGAAGTAGTAGTTGAGGCCGCCATCGACGACTATGAACAGGACCTTTTCCAATCGGTCCCAGACATCGTTGACGCGCATCCACTTCTCGCTCAGTTGGAGACGAGCAGGAATCCAGACAATGAAGACGCTGACGTTGATGACGGCGATGGCCAGGAAGATGCTGACCTTGAGCTTTCTGGCCTTCTCAGGATTGTAGAGGATGAGCGAAATCCGATTTGTAAGAATTTGCATAAGACACTGAGTCTGAGAGATGGAGAGATGGTCAGTCCAGTCATTTTCAGCGTAAGGGCAGGAAAGGGAAACGTTTACGCACCTTGATGGTCCAAGTAACGACTAGTACATAGATGGACGGTGAGTGATACGTTAACGCTTGCATCCAAGACCTACAACATATGCACCAATAGGATGTTGGGAATATGACTTACTCAACGTAAAAAAGTACCAAAAACTTTATGGTATCATCTTTTATGTCAGCAAAAGCTCCTGATTGCATTAACAGACATCCAGGAGGACTAAAATATTGATGGTTAGGTAGCTGAGCGTACCTTGGTTGAATGGCACCTCTTAGAAACAACCAGCTGCTGGCAGCGACACCGAGGCATGCTGCCCACTCTACCCAGACCATGATGATATAGGGGTTCCAGAAGTGGCAACGTCGGAAGCATCGGTGTGTCTGCTTCACCCCCTTGGCGAATACACATATAGCAAGGGCAAAGGTGAAGCCCCAGACGAAGGTCGCCAAGATGAGGTCGGCTTCCGTTGGCTCATACGGTTTGTACCACGGTGGAATCAGAAATCCGGCCATCTGGACGGGAGGTCTCGTAGAGAACTCGTCGTATATGATGTTGTGTGGTTGCAGTCGTTGTAAGATTATCCATGTCGAGTGAAAGGTCAACCAAAGTAGGCGGAGGCGAGGACGGGGGAAGGGCTGAAGATCATAAACCAACCTGGTGCTGGGATAGTGTTATCCACCGGAATGGATGGGCAAGAACAAGCCCAAGAGCTTATTCATTCTCATGGGGGAAAAGCTAGGTAAGGACGGTCAAGAAATGACAACAGCCACAGAGCTTGGCCTGTCAACGTCAGGGGTTCGGCACTAGTCCCCAAGTTGTGACCGAGATGTGCCCAAAGCTTAACAGCTGCAGACTCTATGTCATGATTCGTATTTTTGAACATTGCTCCTCGCTTGCGTCACCCTCGTCGGGTCTATCCCCATGGGGTGAAATTGCCCAAGTGTATTCACAGGGGATAGAGGCTGGAAGAAGCAATGAAGTATCCAAAGGAAATGAGACGGGTCTAGAAATGTTGTGAACCAACACCCGGATTCTACCATGGTGCCACATTGCATAATTAATGGGCCACCAACAAGTAATCAGCCAACAAGGAGAAGGTGATGATAAGTACGGGCCTCCGTGAGATATGCGAACGGATCAGCTGTTCCTGAGCCTAGCAAAGAAACCCGAGGAGCCGGAGAAAAGTTGGCCTTTTTTTGAGACATGTTCCTCCGTGTTTTTCCTGACGGCACCTCGCAACATTCTGGGCAAGCGGTCAAGCGGTGATCTGGGTTGAGGCTCTGCCGAGGAGGTATAACAGCAGAGCACACGGAGAGGTCGGGTAGGTTGGCCCAGAGTCTCCTTCCCTTGATGTAGCAAGTATCCTGGTCTTCCAGCATCTTGATGAAACCTCGAGTGGTTTCGTCTCGCTGTGAACCAATAGGTAGCCAGGTGGCGAACCTGAAAGCTTGAAGTTGTGGGTTCCGGGGTTGCCCGGCCCGGATCGGAACTGAACTCCAGAACGGATCCGTGCCCGGTGGCCGGTGCTCGCCGAGCACATCATCCAAGGTCGCCAGCCGGGACGCGAGAAGACATACTGGTGGTGAGCTTGAGGACCTTCAGGGTCGACGACAGGCTGTCTTTTGTTTTCATCAAGACTTGTTGGCGGCGAGAGTCTTTTCCTCATATGGAGAAAGGGTTAGATACATCTAGAGAGGACTTACGGAGGTGAGAAGGGGGCCGGCCAATAGAAGCCGTTGAGAAACGTGGCACTCGGGGACCTTTGATCTTGACATGTGCGGCGATCAGCAATGGTACTTGATGCTAAGAACCAAGAAGGAAGTGAGTTGTTGACGAGATGGTGTACCATTAAAATAGAGGCAGGGCAGCAGTGATGGTTGGAAGTCGAAAAGGGATCTGTTCCACAGTCCACTTGTCCCGGGGGTTCCCGTCCTTCCCTGACCCTGTCGCCCATCATTCAGTGGGCCGGGCAACTAAGTCTAGGTGCCCGTACCCGAGCGCTTTGGGCGCACGCCCTATCAAGAGACGGGCGTGTTAGGCGAATTAACAAAAGAGAACAGAAGTAGGGGTAGTGACCACCAACTCTGTTAATTTCGCTAACAACCGCCCCAATAGGAATTCACCTTGCTCCCCGCCACGGTATTCCTTGGAATGATCACATCACCAACAACCCTCAACCCTCAAATCGATCTCCATTTCACCACCGTCAAACTTCCACTTGAAGGCAATTTGTCGAAAGGCAACTGACTGACCACTGCGGCCGAACGCAATCACAAATACCACTAGTTCTTGTCCCAACCAATCATCTGATTTGGGCCTCTTCATCACCATGGATCAGGAGTCATCATCACAGCATCCGAAAGGGCATCAGAGGACGCGCTCAGCCGTAAAAGGTAAGGAGAATCTCTACCCTATCTCGCCTATCTAGATACCGAAACGGTCAGATGGGTGAAAGGATCGACAAGAGCAGGTCGGCAGATGGCTCAGACCTCTTGCTGCTCATCCACCAGTTCGACAAAACATCAGACTGACAAGTCATCTCTCGTCTTAGCCACGCGCCCACGCTCCTCTACCAAAGGCCCGCTTGACGTCGATGAGTGAGTCTTCATAGCCTTGACCCTTATCTGATACCCAGGACGTCGACTGACAGCGGCAGCAGTACCCCTCTTGCATCCCTTCTCCTGCCCCCTCAGCAACAGGCCAATCAACAACTATCATCAGTACACGCGGAGCAACAACCTCACACGATTCCCGGCGGACACGGACACCAGCCCAAGACTCCCGTCCCCGGCTCTCCACTTCTCCCCCGATCCCCGGCGGCCCACTCCCCCGCCCCGCCCCACTCTCGCCGTCAACTGCCGCCCTTGTCCCTATCTCCGGTTGGCGGTCCCAGTCCGCGCATGTCCACCTCCCCCTGGCCCCCGGTGGTGACGCTCCCTACGGACGCGGGGCTCCGCGCCCTCCACCCGATTTCTCCCACCTCCTCCGTCCTGACATCTACCATGAACTGACTCCCCTCAACGTTCCGCCTCCGTTCCGCCAGTCTGTGAAACAACCCTCGGCCTCCATACCCATCCCCAATCTCCTTGCAGGTGGCCACTTCCGGGCCGCCGCTGTTGCTGCCGCCCAGGCACTCACTGGGGCCAATGGTGCTCCTGCTCCGGACCCGGTTGACCATGCCCTCATCCTCTCCTTGTTTTATGTCCGCTTAGCCTGCCTCACCCTTATTGACGCTACCGTTCTTGCCACTCAGGAGGTCAAAGCTCTAGAGGATCTCAATGCTGCCTTCTACATTGATGCGACAGGCCACAACTTGATTCCTTGGGAGCTGCGTGTCTTGGCGGTCCGGTTGCAAGCTATGAGCTTCGCCGACCAGAGGCGTGCGGTAATGAGCTACTACGACCTGGCCAGGGAGGCACGCCTGCGGTTGGCCGAGGCGGCAGCCAAGCACGACAACTCGGAGAAGCAGCTGTGGAGAGAAAGGCTAAACGATCTGGGCGTCAGGGTCGCCGGCGTACTGGTTGAGATGGATGACCTGAAGGGGGCAGTGGAACACCTGGCTTCTTTGAAGGAAACTGATAGCAGCAGCGGTAAAATGCAGATGGCGAGAGCCTTGTTGTGGCTACATCTCGGAGACGTTGATGCTGCGAGGAAGTGTGTGAAGCCCGCCGAGGGCAGCGAAGGCCCTTCGGATGATATGACAGAGAGGATCATGAATGCCTTGTGCGATATGGCCGACGGAAAGTACTCTGAAGCATTGAGCCAGTGGGAAGAGTTGAGCAAGGTGTCGGATGACGAGATGGTCGGCGTTAACAGGGGAGTCTGTTTGCTTTACGTGGGAAGGTTGCAAGAGGTAAGTTCTTGCCCTTTCGACTTGAATTTCGTATCAAGAGTTGCTAAACTGAATATGCTGGTGGTGTAGGGCAAAAATCTGCTTGAGAGCTTGGTGGACTCCGGCCGAACCTCACATACACTTCTCTTCAACTTGACGACCATGTACGAGCTGTGCACGGAGAGGTCCCGGACTCTAAAGATCCAGTTGACGGAGAAGGTGGCTGCACTGGAACCGACAGCCTTTGGGTGGGAAAAGACCAACGTTGACTTTAAGCTGTGAAAAGGCCGAGGTCCAGCGGTAAGAGAAGAAAGAGGCCATAAAACTAATACCCCCGTAATCGAAGCAGAAGGTCACGCCTCTTCGGACAGCATATTTCGGGTCACGTATTTATTCATCTTAGATCCTACATTCTATGCGCCAACCAAAATGTTCTAAAGGTCTACCAAAAATGTACAACCAATGGCGATTATCTCATGAGCGCTAAGCAGGAGGATATTCAAACCCGCACATCCATCCGACGCCATCCAAAACTCCAATCCGAACCGTCAAACCCATCATATCATGGCTGAAATGCGCGACTTCGTGTCTCTCATTTCGAGCCAGAAATGTCACCGGAAATCCTCCATCAAAATCTTGCCGTTGTGTTAGCATACGGCTCGTAACTGGCACTTAGATCCCTCGTCTGGCGGTTGCCAGGGATGTTGAGCCTCGGAGCGCTGGGAACTGGCTTCCTCTTCTGCGTGTACTCATCTGGAGCTGCCCAGTCATTGTCGAGTCTCGGTCCCAATTGTGGCGAGCCAAGGGTAGACAGCGGCTGATTCGCAATATCATCTCCACCCTGGGGAACTTGCTTCTCGACCTGGACATAGTTGTGCTTGCCGCCCACGAAACTCATCAACCCGCTCTTTTGCTGATGTCCGGCGCCATCAGTCGCACCATGATGCACCTCGATACCTTCCATGTTGTAGCCGCCGTAGCTGTTGTCGCCCTCCATCAGAGGCATCGACTTCTCCTCGGCTGAACGAGCAACCGGCCGGTTCCTGAGGCGGCGCGGCTGGCGGGTTGGATCCTCCCTCAGCGAACGGCTGACGTACAAGATGCTTGCCAGTAGCGAAATAAAGGCGGCCACACAGGTGATGACAATAGCAGACGTGCCCAGGCTGCTCGTCAAGTCGATAGATCTTGAATAGGTGGCCGTTATCGCATTATTAAATTTGTTGAAGACCACAATTGCCGCGATGGTTGCGGAGATCGCAAAGCACGTCGAAATGCCACTCATGACGCCAGCTCCTCTCGGCGAAAACCATCCTACGATGGATACCAAGAAGTTGAACACATTAGAGGCGATAAGACCGCCGGACATGAAGGCGCTCGCTGTTTTGTAGGATTCTGTGGCTTCCATAAAGGTGCTGTTCACGTTCCCTTGCAAGGAAGTGGCCGAGAAGCGGAGGACTTTCGGAATGTTGAAATAGTAGCCGACGTGCGACTTCATGCACGAGGTAGTCCCATTGCCGCGTCCACAAGCCGTGAGCAAACCAACAGTGTATCTGCTGGCGACACCGAGGGAATTGGCGGTGGAGTTTTGTCCAGTGTAATCCGTGCCGGAGACCTTCGAGATGTCATTCAGAATACTCGACTCCCCGAGCTTCGGGGGAATGGACATCTTGGACACATCGACCTAGAATAAAGTGGTCAGTCGCCATCGTTCGCCTTTCCCGACGGATAATCGCACAAACAACTTACCTCAAGAAAGTAGATGCCATCCAGCCACCTGCTGTGCTGACCGAACAGGGCTGTCGTGATAAGGACGAACGCAACAACTGCCAGCGAGCCGGGAGCCAGCGTCCAAAAGAGACTCCGCGTCATTTTCTCGATAAATGAAAGGGCAATTTACCACAGACAATCCTGGCGGATACTATGCGGAAAAGTGAAACTCGAAAAGACAAACACTAAGCGCAAGCAATAAATTTTTTCACTTTGCGCAAGAGACGGGAGGATGGATGTGAGGTTATACTCAACGGAAACTTGAGACATCAACCCATTCAGGGCGACCCAATGTGGAGTGGGCTAAGTACTGTGTCAGAAGGGTATTTGCGGAGGAATACAGGCACCAAGATAGGCCGCCAAGAGCATCACCAGCCTCCCAAAGTCCAGCGGATCCGCTTAAGCGTAAAGCCTTCAGTGGAGAGCTATCTTTGGGCGGTCTGCGATTTTGCAAAAGATGTTCACCGTTCAAAATGGGAGCCTTGGCCGTGGCGCGGATGTGGTACGGTGCTCTCTCTGCCTCAGCCCTGGTGGGAAACGATAGCGTGAGACGGGGAAGGCAATGGCAATAGGCAATGCGCCTCTGTTAGCTCTGTGAGCTAGGATCGGAGCCATTGAACACCAACCAGCAACAACGATGCCTGGCTCCCTGGAGACACTTGGATGAACACTCCAACAGGTCCACGTTGCGCGCGCCTGGTGAGCGCTTGTTTGTGGGGCACTTCCAGCGACAGGCTACAAGCTCACCTTCTCAAGGCCAAGTGCTGACAGGATTGACCCGCTCAGTTTACCGATCCCAGTGCCTCCATTTTCAGGCGTCAAGATTTTCGACTTGGCGATGTTTTGGGTTTTTGCGCCTCTTGAACCGTTTGTTATGTCTAAATGTTCATCTTGCGCCATGGAAGGGGACATTGAAGCAGGTCAATATATCTTGACTGGAAAACACTTGGTCTTTACTTCGTTTCTCTTGGTCAGTATCTTTTTGATACTATGACAACGGCGCTGGTTTCTGCGTTTGTTGTCTTCTAAGCTTACACAGAACTCTTCCCCGTACCTTTCCAATCAATGCCTGGATGATCACTTATTCTGCGTCGCTATTTCGCAGAGCGCTATCCAACCGAATTTAGGCATACCCAGCCACTTCCCATCTCACTGAGGCTGCGGAGATTGGGCAGGGACCTGAAATAGCGACCCCCTGTCATCTGGGACAACCACTACAACCCTATAGCGAAGCTAATGCAGCCCTAGCAGGTGTGTGTTTGCGGATATCAAGGGTGTTTATAGCAACAGGGACCCCATCGTCAGGCAGTCGCAACTTTATTGTTGCTCTGCCTCATTGCTAACTTGATGGCGAAGGGAAGATCTGATATTAAACCTTGTCCCCCTCTAGATTCTGGGTCATGATGATTGTATAGTTTCTCTCATAGGTTTCTTGCGGTCTCGACAACACCATTCTATAACTGTTTGAGCCGACACTATCAAGATGTGGTCTTCATCTTGGTTGCTGCTAACCCTTCCCCTGTTGGCACCTCTTGCCCAGGGTGCCCACCACGTCGTTAAGGTTGGTGAGAATGAGAAGCTTGAGTTTGTTCCAGAAACACTCAAGGCTGCTGTTGGCGATACAGTGGAGTATCAGTTCTTTTCCAAGGTTAGCATATCCTTCACTGTCCGTGGTTGATGACCACGGGATTAGTTCACGAATCGACGAACTGACAGTATCATACACTAGAACCATTCGGTGGTACAGTCGAGCTTTGACAAGCCATGTCAGCCTCTAGAAGATGGCTTCTTCTCTGGCTTTGTACCAACTTCATCATCAAAGAAAGCTTCGAGAACCACATTTACTATCAACATCAAGGACACCAAACCTCGATGGGTCTACTGCAGTCAAGGGACTCACTGCCAATCTGGCATGGTTCATGGTATCAATGTGTAAGTGATTACGGCATTGGGGATATGCGCTGGTAGAGGTAGCTGACTTTGCCTGATCAGCGAGTCCAAGAAGATGGATGAGTACAAGGAATCAGCCGCCAAAGCCAAAGCCAACACTTCGCCAAAGAGTCAGCGCCCAGCATGGGGATTCCGCAGAATGCACGTCGATGTCGGCAAAACCGGAAAAAACGAATTCACACCCAACGACATCAGGGAAATTCCCGGCACCATCATCCAGTTCAAGTTCCACCAGACGAACCACTCCGCCGTCGAGTCAAGCTTTGACAAGCCTTGCGTTCCCATTGAGGGAGGGTTCAGCAGTGGATTTATTCCGGTCAAGAACGAGTCTTTCGATGCTGTTTTCAATATTCTCGTTCAACACACCAGGCCTATTTGGTTCTACGATGCCAAGGATACCAACTGCAAGTCTGGCATGGTGGGCAGCATTAACGCGTAAGTCAATCATCCAGGAACCAGTGACGCTAAGGTGGGAATTAAGGCTTCTGGCTTACAATATCTGTGCAGCCCATCGAAAGGAAACACCCTCGAAGCCTATGCTGCCAAGGCTTCAAAGGTTGAAAAGAGCACAATCCCCGACTGGGCCCCCATCGGCGGTGTTGCTGTCATTGACGGACTTATCAACCCTGTCTTTGACGGACCTAATCTCATCATCCCAGTGACTCTGATCGATCCAGCTCTTGAGAGCACTGAGGCCGATGAAGCTACCAACAATGCCACGTCAACGGCCACAACTGCTCCCACAGAATCCTCGAGCAGTGGACACTCCAACAAGTACATCTCAGGGTCCAAGGACAACACAAACTCTTCCATCCACATCAACACCGCAGCCGGCGGCTCCAAGCCCGGCCACTACACCTACCCCGCCGAGATCTCCGACGACACCATCGCCTTCCTCCAAGTCTTGAAACTCATGGACCGCATCCTCGGCGAGACCCTCTACGCCTGGTACAATAAGATCGCCAAAGATGGCGAATGGGAAGGCATCTACCCCGACAGTCTCGTAGCCATGATCCAAAGCATGAGCGCCCAGATCTCCGTGCACTACCAGACACTCGATGACACTCTCAGCCACTTCGACCACCCTTCATTCGACGACACAGCCTGCAAGCTCAAGCTTCCCCAGGGCAACGAAATCGACGAATACGTCATCGCCTCCCTCGTCCTCCTCAAGCTCGAGATCGGCGCCCTGGCCGACGTCAGCGTCCTCATTGCCCAAAAGGATTCATGGTTCCTTCCCGCCCTTGTAACCGAGGTCGGCGCCAAGAGCCGCATGTCGGCCGTCATCAACATGATCCAGAACAAGAACGCGGCCGCCGCGCCCAGGGAGGTCTTGTTGCCTGTCGAGCTCGCCTGGAGTTATGCCATGACGCACTTCGTCGAGAGCTGTCCTGAGAAGGACGGTGGTAAGATCGCAAACATGCCTGACAAGCCATTTGCGCCGCTCGAGGTCGTGCATAAGGAGCTTTCGGGCGATAACTCGGATGACAGAGCGCTGAAGGTCACGTTGAACTACACGCTACCTGCTGACGTTGAGGCCGGGAAGGGGAATGGCAAGGAGCATTGGGTTGCTTGGGTTGGACCCTGGGGCACGTATGAGTATACCAAGCTGGATGAGAAGACTAAGGAGGCGAAGGTGCCGGAGAATATGTTTGGGTATGTGTGGATTGCGGTGGTGAATGACAATACGGTTGGACTGTCGGAGTTGGAGGATGTCACGGTTGCGGGACCGCAGATTGTGTGGACGAGTAATCCCCAGGGAGAGATTGATGTGGGGTTTGAGAAGGAGATTGTTTGATGTTGGAGAGGGTTGATGGACAGCGTGTTATGAATGGGTTTGTTTTGGGATACACTTTTGTTTTTAGGATATAACTTTCAAGGGGAAATGGTGTAAAGGCGTTTGGCTTGTTGCTGAAATTTGGAAGGCCGAGATGTTCAACCCAATAAAGATCGAACGACTCGACTAGTACTAGTCTACGTGATGGTATAATACCAGTAAAGTACGGGAACTGGGCCTCTCTGTTTGTTCGCATGCCTGCAATCGGTCTTCCTGTTAGCTACGGAGACTTACATCGACTGCAGTGTCACGCACAACGCGGACATGGGATCAAGGCAGCAGCAACTGCAAGGCCACTCGTTCCTTCCCCTCTTCTTCAATTACACAACATCATCTTGTCAATGTTTGACGTCCTGCCCACAACACTCTTCATCTCACATCGGCCCGTTTTACAGGCTGCAGGCATTGGTCTCAGTGTCGAGGAAACGAGCGGAAGAGCGATAGACATTACCCCCGCACTGCTCACGGCTCCTTGCAGAGAATATTTGGGTTAGCTGGTCCTGGAACGTGATTACCGCCGCTTGGGAGTAAAGCGTATGACCCTCTTGGGTACTATGGACGCTGTGTTTTAAGAAGGTAAGAGACACTCCTGCCTCCCACTCTCACTCCCACTCTCACCTAAGTTTCGTCACTTGTAGGGCTAACCGGGCATTGTGACCAGGGTCCTGAGTTATTGTACCACTTGCTCTTCCTAGACATGATTTTTGGGCAGAACCATATAGTATAGCCACCAAGGGACCATCCTTGACAACTAAGAGATGGATTCGAGAGCGAGGGGGGGGGCATCCTCTTATTTTCTACACTAAAGCAGCATATGTACCTACGTTTGGGCGGGTAAAACACTTCCAAGTTCTCGTTCACAATCTTCCATTCTGAATGATTCCTCTCCTAAATATACCGACATGCCATCAAGAAGAAATAGCATAGGTTTGTTGTGTTATACAAGAACCATAGGGTAAGGCCCAGGGAGGCAAATCGCCCAACTTGGGTACAAGCTAGTCACGACAGAACAATGCATGCTGAGAACCCCAGAAAATGCTCAAAACCAGTTCAATTAACACATTACTAACATACATCCGTTCGTTTCTCCACCAGGGAGACCAGACTTCAGACCGCCGTCTTGTTTGGGGTATTGTGTGTTTCCCATCCATCCATAAGCTCAAAAAGAAAAAGACACCACCAAGGCATAACCAACAGTCAACCCTTGAAGTTTAAGCAAGAGCAAACCCAAGCGCGGCAACCAAGACACCAAAAGAGACACCAACGGCTCCAGCACCGCTAACAGGGGAGCCAGAAGTAGTAGAGGAAGCAGTCGACGAAGCACCGGAAGCAGTACCAGAGGCAGTACCGCTGGGGACAGCAGCAAGGGTGGTGGAAGAAGAACCAGAACCGGACTCGGAGTCGGAAGAAGAAGCCTTGGCCACGGAACCACCAAAGACACCACCGGCGGGCGTCACGTTGCTGGAGGCGGCTTTGGCGGCCGTCTTGAACTTGTCAAAGTCGTCGGTGCTCTTGGCGTTGACGGCGCCGACCATGCCGGCCTGGCAGTGTTTGCCCTGGGAGCAGTAGTACCAGAGAGGGGTGGTGGCGTTGACTGTTACGCGGAAGACGTTTTCCTGTTGATTTACGGATGAAGAATTAGAATACTGTCTTTTTATGTTGAGATGAGGAAAGGAACGACGATCATGGGTGGTGGGGGGACGTACAGAAGCAACACCGGTCTCAGCAACGGGGAAGAACCCGGAAAAGAAACCGTTCTCGGTCTTGGGCTCGCAAGGCTTGGCCGCGGTAGAGGTCACGATGCTGTGGTTCTTGGCGTAGAACCAGAACTCGAGAACGTCGCCGACGTCGGCCTTGATGTTCTCGGGCTCAAAGGTAAGACCAGACTCGCCGACCTTGATGGGGATGGTCTTGGCGGAGACAGCAGAGGAAAGGGCCAGGGTAGCGGCGAGGAGGATGTTGCTGAGAGAAGGCATTTTGTTTGTTTGTTTGTTGGTGTGTTTGGGTGGGTTAAAAGATTGTTGTTTGTTGGTTGGTATGGATTAAGGTAGTGAGTGAGTGAGTTTGAGCTGGTTAATCAGAAACTGAATGGATATGGAAAAAAGAACGAAACGAGTTTGTTTTGAAATGAAGATCCGCCGGGGATGTATGGTTTGAGTGTATTTGAGCTGGTTTGAGTTGATAATGATGAGAGAAACAAGATGGAGGGAAGTGTCTTGCTCTCCTTCCTTATATATGCCCTTTGTCCTCCCAGCATCATATCATCCGCCACGGCCATGGCTATGACCGACCACCCCAGCGCCTAGTTCACATTGTTTCTCGATGTGTAGTAGCCATGGAGGATCCCTCAAGATGTTTCAAGGAGCCCTTTAGACTGTTCCTGGAGCTTGGGATTCGGGGTAGGTCTCGTGAATGGATGGAAAGGGAACAATCCTTGAGTGTTTACAAAGTGTTGCTATCTTAGCACACAACGAAGGACAAGGGGACGCGGTCTCAGCCCAGACAAAGCCCGAGCGCTGAGGCGGCCAACGGATGCACCGGACAGCGTTAACAGTCACCTTTACAGTGGTCGAGTGGCTACTTGGTCTCGGCCGTGACCCCGTGGAAGTTCGGAAGGCTTCTTACCCGCTGCAACTATGGCAGGACTTTGTGACACTGGTCGATGGGGAGCCCATGGTGTAAGACGTGGAAGGGTCTTAAGTGAATCTGGATGGACCAATGGCGATGATTGACATCCCCGGAATATGGAAGCGAAGCTGGGGGGAGGAGGCTTCGGTTCTTTGGGACGCCCAGGATTCTGACACTTTTGAGGAAATCAGGGGTCCAGGGGTCTAGAACCTGAGACGCTTCAGTAGGTAGCAGTAAGCTTGGTACCCCTTGTGACTAACAGGATCACTAATTGCTTAGGTGCAGAAGTGTTAGTATGCTATCACTTATGTACAGTCTGGTTCATCACACCTCAACAGCATCCCAAAGGAGTCATTCGTGATGCGCGATGGAAACAAGCCAGGCGCTTGGACGAAACAACGTCAAAGCAGTAGATTTTGCCGAATAGGTAGACTGTTTTGGGGAACCGATGAGAGAACCACTGGAATGATCTCAACAGAACTTGTCTGGACGTTGTAAGCGCCTTTACCAAGCCATCCGCGGCCGCACAAAGGGCCGGCAAACATGCCGCCAGGAGGACAAGATGATGGTTGGTTTGAGCCTTGATGAGGAAAACAAATGTGTTTTTTCTGCCATGCGCCTATTGCGAGCCGCCTCAAAAGCCAGAAGACAGCGCTCTCAGCGACCCGTCTCCGCCACCAGAGTGGGCGCCAGTCATGTTGATGACCTATTTTTGCGTTCGGACGTCAGCCGCACCGCGGTTAATCAAGGCTTGCTTTGAGGCGCAGGTTGAAGCCGCCGTTGAAATGACCCGGCCGTCTTCATAATAACATGGAATCGGGTAATGGCGCATAAAAGAGTTGGGGATGGTTGTAAGAAGGTTGAATAAATAAGGAAACAAAAGACTGCTCAAACCAGTTGGCCCATCTCAGGAACACAAGCAGGATAGAGCACCAAAAAGCTGCAAAAAAGATGTTTGCGTTGACAAGGACGAGATTCGAACTCGCGAGGTTTCCCATTGCGGTTTCAAGTTAATCATTTGATAACCTAAACACAACGCCTTAACCACTCGGCCACCTTGCCTAGTGAG